CTCTGCTATTCCCTGGGAGCGACCTTGGGCGGGTGGCGTCACGACAGCGGGTTTCGAACGCATGACCAGATGGTGCACTTCTGAGCCGTCGAGGTACGCCTCCGGCACGGCGGCGCGGCGTGCCCACCCGTAAGGACGTTGTTGCCGCGCCCGGGCGCAGGGACGCAGTTGCGCACCCACTTGCGCGCACCGGCCACAGCGTTGCCGCGGGTGGTCAGCGGACTGAGCCTATACCTGTGCCAGTGCGTACGCCTGCTTCCTCTGTTGGCCGCCAGTTCCTGTTGCCCGGACTGGCATCATCCCATCGTCGCTCCCCCGCTCTACCTGGATGAGCGGCCCTTAGCTCCCTGGGCTTCTTCGTGAGACTGGCCGTTGCTTCGGCTGCAGCTGGTAAGCGGCAGCACAGCTTTCCCAGAGCGCCATCTTCTCACACTTCACTCTGGCACGCCAGGGTACCAAGGATAGGCGTGGCTCTGTGTATGCTTGTCACGTTAGATGCTCCCTGGTACGCGTTCCTGCTCTTATCTTTGGTTGCTAGTCGCCTGCGACTTGTGCCTGGTAGAGGATTCGGACAGTTGTACCTTCCGCATAGCGTCACATCGTGTTACCTGATGGCTCGCTTGCGAACGCATCTCTGTTCGAGGTTGTCTTCCCGGGCCTGACGTGCCTTGTTCGGTTACAGACACCACGAATTTCGCGCCATTTTGGCTGCGTTGGTGCGTACTCTGAAGCTGCGACGGTTCGCTGGCGCCGTCAGAGTCCAACCTCTCCCTACGGTATGCAGTCAGGCGACAGCTTGCGCGTCTCTCGGACGCTTCTGCTTGAGCTTGGTTCAGACACCCTGGGACCCTATGGTACGCCATTCGATGCGCCGAGGTTTGCAGACTCCCTACTGTTCAGATAGTGTACCCAAGCGGCGTACTGCTTGGCCATGGCCTCAGACACTTTGGGGTTATTTGCATCGCGCCATTTTGGCAGCGTAGTTACAGACTCCCTGGGTGCAGGTCCCTGGGCGTTAGACACCCTGGGTTGCAGCACCCTTGCACCCGCCGCCCCGGCGCCGGCCGCGGCCCCGCGCGCGTCCGGCCAATTAGTCTCAGTCGCAGCCCGACCGTTACTCGCCGCTGCTGGCGCTTCCGCCCGCGGCTGTATTAACACAACAAAAAACAAAAAAAAACAAAAAACACACCAGCCCATTCAGAAATAACTGCCAGGGGATTTGCTCGAATCAGGGCAGTGTAGAAGAGTGCTGTGGAACGGTTTTCTTGGGAGCGTGTCGGTGACCGCAGAAGCGGCGGGCCCATGCGTTAATTGGCCGAAAATATGGTCTACTGCCCCCTGAATTTATCTGGGTCTTCCGGGATGGTCTCATGGGTTGATTTTGCATTGATCTCTGGCTTAAAGGATTCGTGGGCACTTGCTCGGTGTTGCGTCCAGGACCGGGCACGCGACTTCTGTTGTATCCAGGACTGGTGGGAGCGATTGCCGGGAGGCTGCCCGAATCGGAGAATTGTAGACGTACGCAGCGGAACGGCTGCGTTGGAAGAGCGCGGGGGCAGCAGGAGCTGCGGGAGAATGTGTCGGATGTTGGAGCGTACAGTACGCATGACACGAAGAACGCCCGAGAACCGTCGCAGGTAGCCAAACAGTAGCACATTAGCAATGAAATTGGTGGCGATATTGGAGCCGTATGGGGCCGTTTTCGGATGTTGGAAGCTTTGAAAAGACGAGAATGCTAAAACGGTCGAAAGACAAGTTCGATATCAACAGTTTTGGCCTCCAAAAGATTCTCTTGGGGCCCTCTCAGGGCGTCGAGAGGCCATGTTGGCCCGTCTTGGGTCCATATTGGGCCGGCTTGGAGGCATGTTGGTTTGGGTTCTTGGTGGGGTGTTGTCTTCTTGAAGGTATTGGTGGCGTCGTGGGATTGTATTAGAAGCCATCCTGGCCATCTTCGAGCCACTTGGGCCATTTAACGAGGGTGTCTCAGGCGAAACGCTTGTTTTGGGACACGGTGGCGTGATCGGCCGAGACCCCATTGTGAGCGTGCCAAACAAGCTTGGAACAGTCAAACGTTTGGCATGCCAGGCACTTTTTATGAGTCAAAAGGTCCTCATCCTCCTCCTCCTCCTCCTCCTCCTCCTCCTCCTCCTCCTCCTCCCCCTCCTCCCCCTCCTCCCCCTCCTCCTCCTCCTCCTCCTCCTCCTCCTCCTCCTCCTCCTCCTCCTCCTCCTCCTGGTGGCGGATCGAAGACGCCTACGGCGAATCACTGCCGCCCCATTGACGTTTGGAAGCGCCTATGTGGCCGAGCGTTGCGGCCAGAGCTCGGCCAAGCTATCGGACTACATGCTCACTAAGCCGTTGCAGAAACCGTTCGGGGGAACAGGTGGGGTAAAAATAAGAAGAAGAGGAGGAGGAGGACGACGAGGAGGAGGAGGAGGAAGAGGAGGAGGAGGAGGACGAAACAGGAGGAGGAGGAGGAGGAGGAGGAGCCCTCGTCGGGCACTTTGGGGGCCTCCAGGGAGCTTCCTGGTAGCCTCTTGGAGGGCTCTTGGGGGCTACCCTGGGCCCCTTGGGGGCCTTTGTAGGCTCCTTGGGAGGCTATGTAGCCGTTTAAAGGCGTTCATGGCCCGTCTGGCGCAGTCGGACACCGTTTGGTGGGCTTCTCTGGGCCGACGTGGCGCCACGTTGGGCATCTCGGAGGTCTCATGGGCTGTCTTGGGGCCATATTGGGGCCCTCTTGGGAGCCCTTTGGGCCATCAGGGGACCATATCGGATGCCTCCTGGGCCGTCGGACTGTCAAAAAGGATCGAATGCCAAAGTCTTCCAACACTTGTAGGCCTCTTGGGCCGTCTTGGCACCCCCTCTGGTGCCTCGTGGGCTATCTTGGGGCCAGCTTGTGTGCATATCGGCCCGTCTGGGAGACATCTTGGGGTTATATTGGGGCCTCTTGGGCAGTCTCAGCCGTCTTCAAGGCATAGTTGAGGCCATCTCGACCGTTTTCGAGGCGAGTTTTCTGGTACCTGGGTGGTTTCCAGGTGTGTGGCGCAAATGGTTGAGGCCCCCGTTGTTGAAAGTTGGCACGCCGTGCACCATTGTGACAAGCCACAGAGAGTACGGATCGAAGACGCGTGCGGCGACTCGCCGCCGCCCCCTGCCTTTTGAAGGCGCTTATGTGGCCGAACGCTGTGGCCAGCGCTCGGCCAAGCTATCGGATCATATGTTCCCCCAGCCGTTATGGAAGCACTTCGGGGAACACGTCGGGGAGAAAGAAGAAGAGGAAGGGAGATCTCTTCGGGCTTTCCTGGAGGCCCTCTCGGATGCATCTTGGGTGTTTCTCGGGCCATATTGGGTGCATCTTGGGTCATCGTGGAGACGTAGTGCGGCCATTTTGGGTTCACTTAGGGTCATCTTAGACGTCTTGGGGGCATCTTGGAGGCCATCTTCAACCATCTTGGCCGTCTTGGAGCGGGAAGACCGACGACCTGGGAAGGTTACAGGTCCTTACGGGGTTAGAAGACCGATGGGCAGTGCAGTTGACGGGTCATTATGGGTGGCCGTCACATCAGGCCGAAGGGTTTTGGGAATTTTAGAAGATACGAAGAATTACCTAAATGTTGGCATGTCGTGCATCCTTGTGGCAAGCCAAATGGGGTCGGCGGATTTAGTGGTTTTCGGCCCATTCGGCTACCGTGCTTTGGTTGTTGCTCAGAGGCACATTGAATGCCTCTGGTGATCTCCTGGGAGGCCTCTCGGAAGCCTCGTGGAGGCGTTTTGGGGGCATCGTGGAGACCTGTGGGGGCCTGGTTTGGGTTTCTTGGGGGCATCTTGGAGCCTGGGGGGGCTTCTTGGGGGCCAGCTGGCTGTCTCGGTCGTCTTGGGGCGGAGAGCTCGAAATGTCGGTTAGTATTCCCTCATCTGGGGCCTCTCTTGGGCCCTTCTTGGGCTGTTTTGGAGACTTCGTGTGTCCAACCTGGGGGCTCCCTTTGGGGGGAAGGCTTGGGCTGCCTTGGAGCGTCGACAGCCCGAAAAGGTGATGGCATTAAAATCCTGCACATGCTTTTGTGAAATCAATGGTATTGGTTTCTCGGTGCCCTCCTAGAGGTCTTGGGAGCCTCTTTGGCCTTCTGGGAGGCCATCTTGGGCATCGTGGAGCAATATTTCGGCGGCTCTGGGCTGCCTTAGACCATTTTGGACGACTCTTGGGGCACCGAGGTTGACGAAATCCAAGAGACCTGAGGACACTCCAACTCGTGCCTCAGGGCACGGTGATCGGTAATGAGGAGGAGGAGCAGCAGGAGGAGGAGTAGGAGGAGGAGAGGGAGGAAAGGAATGAAGCCGAGGAGGATGAGCAACCACAGACATTAGGCGTAGCAGGAGGGAGAAGAGAAGCTTGGTTTGAGATGGTTTGAATTTTCTGCGCGAGCTCCACCTGTCCATCCAGTGACTAGTGCGACACCCTTTTCGGGAGAAGTCTTCTAGTACTCGCTTGGGTTCCGCGAGCACCTATCGGGACGCATGTCGGTCATTATTTTGGTCTTATGTCCCACATTCTAAGTGGAGTTCGTGTTTTCTCTGGTCACCCCGCGCAGGAACACCCACCACATCCCATCATGATCACCGATCATCATCATAATCATCATCATCATCATCATCATCATCATCATCATCATCATCATCATCATCATCATCATGAGCAGCAGCAGCAGCACCATCATCGTCATCACCAGCAGCAGCAACATCAGCATCAGCATCAGCATCACCCTCGGCATCATCACCACCACCATCATCATCAGCAGCAGCATCACCATCATCATCATCAGCAGCAGCAGCATCACCATCATCATCACCACCATCATCAGCAGCAGCATTGTCAGCATCATCATCGTCATCATCGTCATCGTCGTCATCATCATCATCATCATCATGATAACGCCTACGGCTGGGTCTTCCGTAGCTCCCTTCTGGCGCGTTTGCAGATTGTAGTTGTCTGGGCGCTGGAGGTTCTCAAGGGGTCTCCGCTGGACGTGGCCGACGTCGACAAAGCGCGGCTGCCGCCGTGCTTCGACAGGCTGGGGATTCGCCTTTCAGCGGAGCCCGAGGGCGACGCGAAATACCTCGCATGGTGTTCCGCCCATGTGCAAGATTTCTGGCGCCTAGCGGCCGCCCTCGGGCGCCCGCTTCACCACGACCCCGACGCCGAGCTCGCCGGCGAGGCTGCTTCGCGGTTTGCGGGCGTTTGGGGTGGACTTCGCGCCAGGGCGCGGCATGGCCTTCACCGCGGAGGCGCAGAGACGTTCGTCGCTGAGACCCTTTGTGTCGGGCGTCTCCGGCTTGGGTGCCAGCATGGTTGGCCCTGCGCACAGTAGGCCATACATTGGCACCCCCGCCGTCCATGACCCATGATTTTGCCGCAAAGTGTATTTTGTTTGTTTTTGACACGGATGGTGGGGGGGGGTTCGGCATGGTACAAGGCAGCTAATATGTTGGCACCCCCGCCGCGCTTGTCAAAAACCAATGCAAAATAATCGCTGGGCGCCCGCGCACGCTCCAGATTTAGAGGTAAAATGTAGTCTGCACTGTTCTTTGACAGGGATGGTGTTGGAGGTGGGCTCATTGGTCTCGGTTGGCTGCTGGTCGTGTGGAGGAGAGGGTGCTTTCTAGTAGGGGGCAGTGATCAAGATATTTGGTTCACTCCCACCCGCCCTCCCAACACGTAAGTAAGTAACACCCGTGTCTCAGCATATTCAGTGGTCTTTGCATGGACAGCTACTACAGGCCCCAGGTGCGCGACGCTGCGGCGAGGTGCGCAACGCGTGCCAGGCGCCCCTCAGGCCCAAGCGTGCCAGACACGCCTGGTGCGCCAGATGCGCCACGTGCGCCAAGCGCGCAGCATGCTCCAGCCGCGCCAGGTGCGCCGCGTTCGGGGCAAAATGCTCAAGGAGTTGCCTCGGTGTGCATTTTGTATTGTCTTGTCGGCAGGGATGGCGGGGGGGGTACCTGCATTGTTCCAGGTTTGTCGCCGGTCGGGTGGAGGAGGGGGCGTTAGAAACAGTGGTAGATCCTTCCTCGAAAGGAGGACATGGTTGGAAGAGGACACGCTGTAAACCACCTACGCCATAAAGGGCTGGTGGGATTCCGGCAAGGCACAAATCAACAAAGGTCTCAGAGAATTTTCAAGTCAATGTGTCCATTCATGTGGCTTGTCTCACGCAAAGTGGATTTGTCGATGGCGCATTCCTTTTGTCCATAGCTTGCCGACCCATGTTTGTTTATGACCGATTGACACGGAGAGCGCACCTGAATTGATTATTGAATGCTTCGGATGAGTGTTGTTGTGGTCGCCGGAGATTTCTTAGTTGCGGATGTGGAGGACGAAGTGGGAATCGATTGCAAGCGTATGAGGGCATTCCGAACGACGCAGGTTTCGCAACAACAGTGTTTCGAAGATGTTGTGTGGTAGGTTCATATGATTTATCGCGCGGTTCGATCCGACAAGTGAATACAACACAATACATACATGTTCCGAATCACCAGCACTCACGCTCAAAGTTGCATCCCGATCCATTCTATTTCAACTACTAGAACGTCAAACGCACAGAGAAAAACATACACTTACGAAAACTAAACATGCATAGGTGCTGCGCGCGTGGTTACACGTGAGCACCTATGCGCAGTGCGCTGTATCGCCGAAGTGCACACTTATGCTGAACAAGCGCGTTTCTCTAGCACTGCAAAATATGTGTCTATCCAGCGATGTAGATGTCCTGGTCGTGCATCGAAGAAGCCTAAGGCGAATCATCGCCGCCCCCTGCCCTACGGAAAGGCCCATGCGGCCAAACGTTGGGCCGAAATTTGGCCAAGCTATTGGACCATGTGTTCCCCCCGGCGTTGTGGAAACCATTTGGTGGAGAAGAGACAGAAGGACGAAAGGGAGGAGAAGGAGAAGTGCGAGGAAGAAGGGGCCTCTTGAGGCCCTCTTGGGGCCTCTTGGGGGTTCCCTGGAATCCGTCTGGGGGCCTCTGAGGGACCTCTTGGCATTGGGAGGCAATATTGTGCCCCTCTCTGCGCAGACCTTTTTCGGCGCTTTACAGCTGTTTGTGGTGTCGATGGGGCCGGCTTGGGGGCCTCTTGGCCCGTCTTGCGAGCCTCTTGGGGACCTCTTGGACCGTCTTGGGGCGAGTTCGGGGGGCTATGTGGCCGTCTTAGAACGTCGGAATCCCGAAAAGGCGAGAACGTGAAAATTATTGAAACAAATTACGGATCAACCGTGATTTTGGTCTCGTCGATGTTTTGGGGCGTTTTGGGGCCATTTTGGGCCGTCTTGCGGGAATATTGGGAACCTCTTGGGGACCTCTTGGGCCGTCTTGGGGCGAGCTCGGGGGGCTACGTGGCAGGCTTAGAACGTCGGAAGCCCGAAAAGGCGATAACGCTGAATCATTGAATCAATTTTCTGATCATAAATGATTTTGGTCTCGTCGATGTTTTGGGCCGTCTTGGTGGGCTTGGTGGCCCGTTTGGGGCAAATTTGGGTCGACTTGGGTGCTGCATTTTGGGCCGTCTTGGGATAACTTGGGGACAGAGTGCAGTCGTTTGGGGCCATCGTAGCTGTCTTGGAAGAGGTCTTGGCCGTTTTGCAGGCAATATGAGGCCGTTTGTATTGGGAGAGCCGATGGACTGCACAGTTTCCATTAAGCCAGCGGGTTGGGCCCGATGCCGGTGGGGACTTTAAAGTTGCTTCGACGAAGGACCCAATCATGTGCAGTTGTGAGTGCCGCAGGTGTGAGTATCGTCTTCTGTGGAGCTTTTTATGAGGCAACGAAACATGTGAGGGTTGAGCCGCACGTAGCCGCACCCACTGGGGCCACAGGTGGAGCTCCCTATGGGGCCACGAAACGCGTGAGTGGCGTGCCAAAGTGGACATGCGGTGGGCGGCGAGCCGCATGCTGCCATACGCATTGGGGCCTCAGTTTGAGCTCCCTATGGGGCCACGAAACGTGTGAGGGGCGCGCCGACATGGACATGCGGTGGGCGGGAAGCCGCATGTGACCGCACCCATTTGGGCCACAGGTGGAGTTGCTTACGGAAGCAGGAATCGTGTAGGGGGGTGGGCAGAAGCTGGCACGCGGTGGGAAGCGAACCGCTTGTGGCCGCACCCATTGGGGCCGGAGTTCCCTATGGGGCCACGATAACGAGTGAGTGGTATGCCGAGATTGGCATGCGTTGGGCGGGGGTGCCGTATGTGGCCGCATCCAGTGTGGCCTCAGGCGGAACTCTTTTCTGGGGCCGCGAAACATGTGAGGGGTGTGCCGACATGGACACGCGGAGGGCAGACGCAGGGATGGGAGGAGGGAGGAGAGAGAGAAGGGAGGAGCGAGTGAGTGAGACGCGGGGCGCTATCTCTTCAAAACGAGGACCCAATTATGTTGGCGAAGGACCCAACCTTACGCAGCTGTGAGTGCCGCAGTTGTGAATATCATGTTCTACGCCCCATATGAGGCCAAGAAGCGTGTGAGGGGTTTGCCGAGATGGGCGAGGAGCCGCACGCGGCCTCATTGGGGCCTCAGGTGGAGCTCCATATGTGGCCACGAAACGTTTGAGAGGTGTTCCGAAATGAAGCAGCGGTGGGCGGGGAGCCGCATGTGCACTTTGCCACTGTGACCTTAGGTGGAGCTTCCATTGAGACCGCGGAACCTGTGAGGGGCGTGCCATACCCCCCCCCTAACGTAGACCACCCACCTAAAGTAGCCCGGACCTCGGTGACACCGAGCTTGGCCCGCGCGGAATGGGTGTTATGGCGACACGCTTGTCTCGGAATGATGCTCCAGCTTGTGCTTGTGCCCCATCTCGGATTGAAAGTGTTACTCTCGCCAAGACGCCGGCAACATCTTTGATTGAGCGTGTTGTTTTCGCCTGTGCGTGGGCCACGTCTCTGATTGAAAATATTACTGTCGCCCAGGCGCCGGCGACATCCTTCATTGAGCGTGCTGTTCCCGCCAGTGCGTGGACCACATCTCTCATTGAAAATGTTGCTCTCGCCCAGGCGCCGGCGACATCCTTCATTGAGCCTGTTGTTCTCGCTTGCGCGTGGGCCACATCTCTGATTGAAAATGTTGCTGTCGCCTAGGCGCTGGCGGCGCCTTTCATTGAGATTGTCTTTCTCGCTTTGGCGCCAGCCAAATAGTTGATTGAAAATGTTGCTCTCGCCTAGGCGCTGGCGACATCCTTCATTGAACGTGATGTTCTCGTCTGAGCGTGGGCCACATTTCTGATGGAAAATGTTGCTGTCGCCGGCGACATCCTTCATTGAGCGTGCTGTTCTCGCCAGCGCGTGGGCCACATCTCTGATTGAAAATGTTGCTCTCGCCTAAGCGCCAGCGACATCCTTCATTGAGCACATCGTTCTCGCCATGCGTTGGCCAGATCTTGGATTGAAAATGTGGCTGTCGCCGAGGCGCCGGCGACGACATCTTTCATTCAGCATGTCGTTCTCGCTGTGGCGCAGGTCACATGTCTGATTGGAAATGTTATTGTTGACTCGGCGCCGACGACATCTTCGCTGTGGCGCTTCTCACATGTCTGATCGAAAATGCTGTTGTCGCCCAGGCGCCAGCCACATCTTTCATTTAGCATGTCGTTCTCGCTGTGGCGCCGGTCACATGTCTGACGAGCAATGTGGATGTCGCCCGGGCGCCAGCCACATTTTTCATCGAGCATGTCGTTCTCGCTGCGGCATTGGCCACATCTGATTGAAACTACTGCTTTCGCCTAGGCGCCAGCCGCACGCATGATTGCGATAATTGTTCTCGCCTCAACGCGGGCCGCACTCTCGACTCGGAATGCTGTTTTCGCCCAGGTCGTGGACGCCAGCCGCACGCATGATTGCGATTGTTGTTCTCGCCTCAGCCCGGGTTGTGCTCTCGATTCGGAATGCTGTTCTCTCTTGGCGCCAGCCAAACATATGATTGCGAATGTTGTGCTGCCGTTTCGGCGCCGGCCGCGCCCTTGATTGCGAATGTCTTTCTCGCCTTGATTATAGGCTGCACCATCGCTGGGGCGCCTGCCACATCTTGATTGCGAACGCCATGGGCGTCGAGGGGAAGACGCAGCCTCGCAAGCTTGTGGGCTGCGCAAGCTTCCAGATCACGGCCCCATCCGAGGCCAGTTTGGTACCAAGGTGCCGCTTGGATTGTTTCGCGTTGTGCTACTGGTTATC